TCGAGGCCTTGATTTGGGCTTGGCCTCTTGGGGCCTCTGGGGCCTCTCTGGCGCACCTCGGGGGACTTCTGGGGAGATCTTGGGGCCATCGTGGGGGTCTGAGAGCTCAAGATGTCAGTTCGTGCTCCCCCTCTTGGGCCCCTCTATGGGCCGTCTTGGGGGCCTTTTGGGCAATTCTTGGGGGCTCTCTGGCCGTTTGCGGGCGATCTTCGGCGCCTCTTCGGCCGTCTTGGACGCTTTGAAGACCGAAACAGCGGTCATGCAAAAATCACATGGCAAGCAGTGGATTTTGACGATTTTGGCCTCTCGGGCCGCCGTCCAGGGCCTCCAAGACACGCCCAAGAGGCGCCCAAGAGGGCTCCAAGACGCCATCTGAAACCATGTCGGACATGCATGTCCCGAACAACGCGCTCCTGGCCTCTGGAAAAGTCACCCGGGCACCTCTCGAGAGCGCCCGTTGCGGGCCCCTGGCAGAAATTATACAGAATCAATGCAGAGAACCCGAAGCGGCCTGGGAACATTCCAATTCGTGCCTCAGGGCATGGTGGCGGATGTCTGTGTATACATGCAGATATCTATACGCACATATTCAACCGCGGTAGAGCGAGGACAATGCCGCGCTTCCCGACCACGGGCGGGGGACCGTCCTGGCATCGCCGTCGTGTGTCGACACGCGCCCCAGGTAGGTCGCACATAGCCAGTGCGTTTTTTAGCTTCTCGCTTCGGCATTTGGCCAGCCTGGCTTACAGTGGGGGCCCATGCCAAGAAACACCCTGCTTGCCTCCAGGGTGCCCTGGGTTTCTTGGGTTTCGACGGTTCTGCTGTGAAGTGCGCGACGCTCCGCTCCCACGCCAAAAGTCCGGGGACGCCCTGGGGTCTCGGGGTTGGGCTTCCTGCGGAAGGCTCCTTGGGGACTGGCCTCCACTGCAGATCGTGGCCCGCCGAGGAGGCCGCTTCCCTCCCCCCCTGCGGCGTGCTCGCTCCTCCCCTTCCCTCGGGCCTGCACGTCTCCAGGGCGCCTCGCGGCGCCGGCCCGTGGCCACGGCAGGGGCGGCAGCCCTCGACGTCGACTGGCGGGATGGTCGCGTCGGCAGCAGGAGAGCAGGAGCAGCTCCTTCCTCGTTCGTCCGTCCTCCTCTTCGTCGTGCATAGCGCGCGTGGCCGGCGCGTACAGCTCCGATGATGGCAACGTGGACCACAAGGTACTCTCGTTCATTCCCTCCTCCTCCTCTCCCTCTTCCTCCTAGTTTAGTCTAGTAGGTTCGGCGAACTTGAGCATCTTGGCTGTAGCGTCCGTGCGAAAGGACGAGACAGGGCAAAGAGGCAGGCATGGCCTAGGAGCAGTAAGAAAGTAGAAGGCCAGAGAAGTGACGAACAGAAAGAAAGAGAGTAGAGCTGGCAGAGTATGCTGCATGGTCTCTGCCTCCTCCTCCTCCTCCTCCTCCTCCTCCTCCTCCTCCTCCTCCTCCTCCCCTCCTCCTCCTCCTCCTCCTCCTCCTCCTCCTCCTCCTCCTCCTCCTCCTCCTCCTCCTCCTCCTCCTCCTCCTCCTCCTCCTCCTCCTCCTCCTCCTCCTCCCTCCTCCTCCTCCTCCTCCTCCTCCTCCTCCTCCTCCTCCTCCTCCTCCTCCTCCTCCTCCTCCTCCTCCTCCTCCTCCTCCTCCCCCCCCGCTCCCCCCACGAGAGAAGCCGTCGGGCTCGATAGCCACGGGAGGCCCCGCGCACTCCTACATCAAGTCCGGGGACGCGCCCCGCCAGCCCGCGCGGCCCCGCCGCTCCTCCCCGCCCGCCCTCCCCGGAGGAGGGGTGGTCACCCCGATCGTCCGAGGCGGGAGAATTTTTCCACATCCACCGCCTGGAGGGTCAGTTTTCGGAGCCTCGGTAGGCGGTGGATATGGACATACTCGGGCCCCTGGGGGCCGAAATATATCCATATCCACCGCCTGCTGGGGCACTGGGACGTCGGTTTCCAGGCGGTGGAGATGGATAAATCCCCGCCTCGCAGATCGGGGGTCGGGGATGGATGAGAAGTGGGGGGAGAGGGGGACGGGCTCGCAGTCTCGAAGCTCGAGGTTTCGAGCTCCGCGGTTTTCTGGAGCTTTCGCGGGTTCTCGGCGGCCGTCCAGCGTCGGGATGCCTTCCAGCGGCTGCGCCTCGCCGCGGGCGCGCCGGGGGTATCCAGCTCGTCCCGAACGGCCGCCGGAGGCCCGAGTTGTGGCCCGAAAACCACCAGGGGGAGGATTGGTGTTCGGAGGAGGATCCAGGACCGAGGTTCTGGACGCCCTCGCAGGGGCGTCCTCGAGTGTGCGCGACGTCCTTCGCGCTTCCCGCTTCGCGGTGCGGCTCCGACTCCTCTTCGTCCTCCTCCTCCTCCTCCTCTTCTCCCCTGGGGGGCGGCGCGAGAGCGCGAAGTTCTGCGCTCATCGCGCATCGCGAAGCGCGATTCTAGGCTTAAGTCGGGCCTGTCCCTCTACAGGGGGAATATTCGAAAATAGTAAAAAAACAGTAGGGGACGATTTTTCAACTATTTTTTTAGCACTTCTGTGACATTTCTTAAACATTTTAATTTGTCGTCCAAAATCCCCCGACCTAAAGTTAGGCGCCCTTGCCTTCGGGCCTCTCTGGGCCTCCCGGGGCGCCGTCGCGGCCGCGACCGGATCTCCGCCTCGAGAGAAGTCTCGGCCAAGGAGGGGTCGGTGGGCGGGCCGGTTCCGGAAGGAGGGCCCAAGACTCAGGTCGGGCCTGTCCCTCTACAGGAGGGGACATCCGGAAACAGTCGAGCAATAGTCTGGGGACGATGTCTTGCCTATTTTTGAGTTTTTCTGTATGTGTTTAACTATTTTTCATATTTCGTCCAACACCCGCCTGGAGGGGGACACGCCCGACCGAACCCCAGACCTCGAGGGCCACGGCGCCCCGAGAGCCTGGAGTCGCCCCTGTTGTCGCGCCGGGCGTGGTCGCCTGCAGTGTCGGGCCCCGGGGCCCTCGCAACAATCGAGCCGGCTCGGCAGAAAAGCTGCGCGGGAGGGCGGGATCCGAGGCGTCGGATCCCGAGGATCCCGAGGATGTAACTTTTGTTCGCAGCGTCGGATCGCAAGGGACGTCGCGACGGGCACCTTCGCCTCCACAGCCCAGGCTCCCGGGGCCCCGCTTCGGGCCCCTGCTCGGGGCCTCTCCTTCCGCGCAGGGGGGATCACCACGAAGGTGTCCTGGAGGGAACAGACACAGAAGCCAAAGGAGAGAGCATACACGTCGGTCGGAAGAAGTAGATAGAAACATGAAGTAGGAAGGCGGATATAGTTGATTGGGCCCAGGTCCTCCCAGAGAAGAACAAAACACAGCAAAAGCATGTCGATCCTTGAAGTAGGAAGGCGCTTGAAGTAGATTGGGATCTGGGAATCCAGAAATACATACTTTCAACGACCGGCGCATACCCCTCCCGATGCCCCTCCTCGTCTTCGCCGCTGTGGGCCTCCCGGAGGCCCCCGGCGCCACGGCCGGATCCGCCTGGGGATCCCGGTGAGAGCGCAGCCAGGGAGGGCCCTCGGGGATTGCGACGTCGGCATGCTCTCTGTCAGATCGATAGTTCAGTGAAAGAGCGCGTTCTGTGGTCGCTTGGAGGGGGGGGGGTGAAACCGGACACTCCCCCCTGGATGGAGGCGGGGGGGGGGTTCGAGCCCCCCCCCTCCCGTGACGGGGGGGTGAGGTGCTCCGTTCCCCACCTCTCTTCGCCCCACCTTCCCGCCCAGCCCTTGGGTCAAGGCGACTGGCATGATCTTGCCCTGCCGTCGGTGCTGCTGCATCTGAGGCCGCACGCATGCTACATGGTAGTGCCGGCAAGCGTGACGAGGGGCCATCATCGATCTGATGAGCACCCGAGGAGAACGGAGGGTTGCACACGCACCAGATCGCACATCGTCGCACATTTTCTCTTGGCATCGCTCGGACGTGTGCACTTTTCTCGGCGAGGGCGATCGAGGAGCATCTTAGATCATCTTGCAAAGACAAGCACGCAAGCAGCCGAAAAATGCACGGGGAATGGACGTCCGAGCGATGGCAAGTTCTCCTCTCCCTTCCCGCCCATCCTAAGAGTCGACCCCCAGACCTGTCCTGGAGCGCGTTCTGACCAGGATTCCGAAGCGGATACAGTCGTGGCGACGACGAGAGACAACAAGGCGGCCCATAGTAAAACGCGATAAAAGGTTTCTTTTTCTGCTCCTGATCTTCCTCCCTTTCTGTCCTTCCCCGATACCCATCTGCGCCAGGGACCCCTGGATACACGAGGAGGAGAAAGGAGAAGTCCTCGGGAGGGTTCCAGAAACGGCTTGGAGGTGTCTCGGAAAGGAGGGGGGGAGATGAAAGAAGGGACGAGGGAGGACGAGGACGAGGAGGAGGAGGAGGAGGAGGAGGGCCCAGGAGGAGGAGATTCTGGAGATTCTGGCTGATCTCGCAGTGATGCGAGCAGAAGTCCATTGGCACCTACTGTGGTGCTGCTCTGCTACGTCTCTGGATGCGCTCAGCTCGGCTGAGACCGAGTCTGCGGAGGTTTCGTCACACGCATCCCCGAGCTTCATAACAATCGACCAGCAAAACTCCGCACTGGGAACATAACCAAACCCCCAGCCCCAGCGCGGAACCTTACACGGTGGGCGCACTGAGCAAATGGCTCTAGGATGGCTAAGGAGGGTCATCGGGGTCCTGGGGGCTTCTAGGAGGAGCAGCAGCAGCAGCACCAGCAGCAGTAGCGTCTTCCGCCCCAACCAGCCCCCGCCCTTTCCAACCCCCAGCTCTCCCCTTCAACCTGCCGTCTCCCTCCCACCCTCTGCTTTGCTCCCCCGTGCCCTCACCGTTCCCGCCCCCCCCCCCTCCCATATCCTATATCTTCTCTTTGCCCTGTTCCTTCCCCCACCCCTCTCCCCCCTCTCCACCCCGCACTTTCTCGCCCCGCCCGACCAGGATGTCAAGGAGCATTGGGGGCCAGGCCAGTCGAAGTCGACCAGCAGGCATCGGGGCGTGGGAAAAAGGTAGCGCCCAGTGGGTCGACTTGCGCCTTGCTTCGCGAAGGCAAGAGACAGGGGGGGGTGACGGAGGGACACAGGGATGACGCAGATGTCGGCGAGGAAGGGAAGGAGGGAGAAGGAAAACGAATGGGATTGCAGCAGTAGAGATGCATTATGTGCGTAGACGGATACATAACATGGAGCGAAAGAAGACAGATGGAGGCAGGGAGCGTGGGAGAGGGAGCCATACAGGAGCCAGATGTAGACAGGGAGCGAGGAAGAGGGAGCTATACACATATGAATACGTACATCTACATACATATATATATATATGTCTACATAGATGTATTCCCCAATCAGTGCTTGCACTGAAGGGGTCCTAGCGGAAGTTGAAAGATTTGGCGAAAGTCTCCCGCCGATGTTGGTAGCAGGCTGGATTCCCGGGTTCCTGGTTCCGGGTTCCCGGGTTCCCGGTTATAGATTTTGGGCCGATGTCGGTGGGTTCCGGGTTCTTGGGTTCCCGGGTTCCTGGTCGACTTCCTGATCGATCTCTGTATCGATCCCACGATTCATGATCGATCTCATATGTATCTCATTATTCGTCTCATTCAATCGATCTCACCATCGATTCAATCAAACCATCCATTGATTGGGTTTTTTCTCTGTTTTAATTACATATACGTACATAGAGAGAGAGAGAGAGAGAAATATATGAAGAAAGAACGAGAGAAAGAGAGAGAGAGAGAGACAATAAGAAATACACACAGTTAGAACAAGAGAGAGAGAGAGAGGACAGCACAAGCATAAAGACAGAAGGAGAGGGGAGAGATAACGAGAGAGAGGAGGAGATAAGAGAGACAGCGGCAAAGACAGAGGGAGAGAGAGGGCGAAATAAAGAGAAGAGCGAGTGTGTGTGTGCGCTTGTTTTTTTTGGGTAAGAGAGAGCGATAGCGAGAGAGATAGAGAGAACACGGTAGAGAAGACAGAGAGAGAGAGAGAACAACGAATGAGATGAAAGAGTGAGAGAGAGAGAGAGACAGAGATAGAGAGAGAGAGAGAAACGACGATTGAGAGAGCGAGAGAGAGAGAGAGGAATTTCAATCCATACAGAGAGCGAGAGAGAGAGAGAGGTACAGGTACAGAGAAGAGTGAGAGAAGAGAGAGAGAGAGAAGGACGAGAGAGAGAGAGATGGAGAAGATAGAGAGAGAGGGAGAAACACACATACATATACATATATGTATATATAGATCGGGTAGGAAAGAGAGAAGAGAGAACACGGAGGGGACAGTGATACAAGGGTGATCATGAGTATATGCTAAAGTGTGTAGATACATCTATATATATAGAGAGAGAAAGAAAACACAATGAGAGAGAGAGAGAGAGAGAGAAAGATAGCGAGAGAGATAATGGCAGAAAGAGCGAGAGAGAGAGAGAGAGATAAAGCACACAGTATACATACACAAGACAACCCAGCAACAACAGCAACGCACACACTACCCGCAGGCGTATGATATAGGCTGGCAAGAGGGGCAGCAGGCGAACACGCAGACACAGAGAACCGCTGGCTGACAGACAGGCAGAATTACACCGACTTGCCCATACCCCTACCCCCTCTGCGCGCCGCCAACAGGGCGCCACGAACAATCAGGCCGCTCAGAAAAGGAGGGGGACCCAGGGACACACCCCGCGGGGGCCAATCGGACGCTCCCCGATCGAGGATGGACGCCCCCCCGTGCTGTACCCCCGAGCTGGGTCTCAAATGTTCTGGTCCGTTCGACAACGTCTCGAAGCCTGGGACAGGGGCCGGCATGTCCCCTGGTAAGTCAAGGCGTCGGCTGCCTGGGCCAAGCGTGGAGAAGCGGGGGCCCGACGGGAGGGTCAGCCCCCGATGTTCGATCCTCTCTGATCCTCGCACCCACCTCCTCGATGCTCCTCGACCGTCCTCTGTGCCCCTCGACCCTCCCCGATCCTCGATGCTCCTCGGCCCTCCTCGACCCTCCTCTGCCCTCCTCGATCGTCGATCCTCCTCGAACCTCTCGCACCTCCTGGAACGGCGTGGGCGGGGGGGAGGAGGAGGAGGAGGAGGAGGAGGAGGAGGAGGAGGAGGAGGAGGAGGAGGAGGAGGAGGAGGAGGAGGAGGAGGAGGAGGAGGAGGAGGAGGAGGAGGAGGAGGAGGAGGAAGAGGAGGAGGAGGAGGGGGATGAGGAGGAGGAGAATGAGGAGGAGGAGGAGGAGGAGGAGGAGGAGGAGGATGAGGAGGGGGATGAGGACGAGAATGAGGGGGAGGAGGAGGAGGAGGAGGAGGAGGAGGAGGAGGAGGAGGAGGAGAGAGGGAGGAGGGAGGAGGAGGAGGAGGAGGAGGAGGAGGGAGGAGGAGGAGGAGGAGGAGGAGGAGGAGGAGGAGGAGGAGGAGGGAGGGGGCCCGACGGGGGTCCAGCTTCGCCTCGTCGGCTCACCGCGCCGCCGCCGCGCCGCGAGCTGGACCGCCCTGTCGGCGCACGGTGGCTGTCCGGGGGGGGTCGGCTCGGGGCTGTCGGCCGGGGGGGGGGGGGCCCTCCCGTCGCTGAGGATGGATCTCGGGACAGGCTCAGAGCTCCGAATCATCGGGGCTGGGGGGCAGTCAGGGGTAGCTTTAAGTCGGGCTCGTCCCTCTACAGGAGGAATGTTCCAAAATGGTCCAAACATGATATGAAGACGATTTTCCTACCATTTGTGGCAATGTGTGACTATGTTTTGAAGATTTCTACTGTTCGTCCAAACTCCGCCTGTAGGAGGACATGCCTGACCCAAGGGTAGCTGCGGGTTCGTGCCTCGGGGGCCCGAACGGACGTTACCCCAGACCGGAGACATGTCCCAGATAACCCGGGCGTCAAAATTTTGGCGGCAGTGTGAGTTGTTTCGCAAAGCTAATTGATGTGTTAGCTGTGGAAGGCTTGTCTGGAGGCTCGCTGTCGGCTTCGGAATGGGGGTTGCTCGGACGAGCGGCTGAGAGATGGTAGAAAGCCAGGCTGGCTTGCACCCCGCCTGGCCCGAGTGGTATTGCCCCCGGAGCCGATCGGCCGTTCTAGCTGGCCAGTGGCATCGACCTGGACGGGGTTGGGGCATTCGAACGGGGAGGAGGAACCCGAGCCGATCCAAGTCCGTCCGCATCCCCCCGCTCCTCCCCTGCCCGTCCCCACCTTGCTTATACCTTATTCGTATCTGCTCCTACTCTGCCTCCTAGCTGGCCGATAACTGGCCACAGCGGGGGCATCAGTTTTACTTGTTCAAAGCAGTGTCGAAGATGCATGACAGGAACGGGAAAATGTCGCCCACGCTGGAACATGTGTGGCAGGAACCACGCTGCAAAACATGTCGCCCACGCTGCAAAAGTGCCGCCCACGCTGGCATAAAATCAGGGGCACCAGCTGTGCCGCCCACGCTGCAAAATGCGCGGCAGGAGCGGGACGGGGCGCACATCCCGCTCAAGAAAAGGGCGAAGTGCCGCTCGTCGCCTCGGCGCCGCGCCCATGTTTTCTCGCGGGAGGCGCGGCGCGCCCATGCCTCGCACGCCGCTGCGTCGACGCGCGGGCGGGCGCACATTTCGCTCTGTCGCCTCTGCGCCGCGCAGCGGTCGCCTGCGAGTGCCGCTCCCGCCCCGGCGCGGCGCGCACTGCCGCGCGGGCGGGCGCCTGGGGAGCCGCCCTGGCCGTGAGCTCCGGGCGCGTTGCGCTCGGAAGGGGCGCTCTCGCCCGGGCGCGGCACTCGGCTCGTCTGCCGCATCGAAGGAGGGCGGCAGCGGCAGCGGGGCCGCGCAAGAGCCGGGGGGGGAATGAGGACCGCGCCCGAGCGGGGCGCAGTTTGTGAGTGGAAGTGGCCCGCGTAGGTTTCCCTGCGCCCAATCGTCGGAAGCGGGGCCACGCGCGAGCGCCCGCCCTTCGCTGGGTGGGGACGCGTTCTAATCCCAATTTCAGTTTGCGCCGCGCTTGATTCTTGCAAAGGCCTTACCCTGAAGGAGGACAACGACGACGACGGCGACGACCACGACGACGACGACGATGGCTGCGGCGGCGGCGACGACGACAACGCTGACGTGGGTCAGAGTCCTCCGGGATGCTGTTTGGGGTCTCTTGGAGCGCTCTCAGAGGCCCTTGGGGGGCAGTTTTGGGGCCTCTTGGGAGCATCTTGGAGGCCTCTTGGCAGCCTCTTGGGAGCCTTTTGGGGCCTCCTGGGATCCTCTCGGGTCCGGGGGCTCGAAATGTCCGTTCGGTTCCCCCGTCAGGGCACCCTGTTGGAGACTCTTGGGGCGCCGGCGGCCTCTTGGGGGGAACTCTTGGGGACTCCTTCGGACTTCCAGGACCGCGCGGGGGGAAAGCGTATCTGGATGGCGACCCCCCCCCGGGACTCCCCCCCCTCTGCGGGGAAGGGGTCAAAGAGAAGGGGCTTCCCTTCGACTCCACTCCGACGTTGCTCAATTTCGCTTTGGATGGCGCGCTTGAGGAGGAGGCCCGGAGAAATGGAACGGAGGACGACGGAGACGACGACTCGAACGGAGAAGCCCGACTCGAATGGGGAAGCCCCTCACACACGCCGACAGCGTCGGCGGATGATGTCATGGGGGGGAGTGTGAGAATGGGCGGGGCCCTCTGACGTGCTCGACATGGTTGACTCGATCCTCTGCCCCTCCACTCCAACACTCCCCCCGCTACCATCCCAACCCATACTTCACCGCCCCCCAAAACCACCCAACGCCCCGATCTGCCCTCCATTTCCAGTGGGGGGGACTCCGGGAACACCGACAAAACCACATAGAGTCGGCCCGGATTAGTAGGTCAACCCTGCCAAATCAAAGGTACTCTTGTGTCCTATGCAGCGCGCGTCGTTTCCTCTGCAGTCCTGGGAAGAGGCCATGTTGGACAAGGAGGCCATGTTGCAGTCGGAAGAGTTGTTTGTCCTGTCGCGTGTCCTGTGCAATCAATTCTGCCTGCATGAAGCCGTACCCCCCCCCAACCCGAAATTCGGG